TATATATATATATATATATATATATATATATATATATACATACATACATAGTTAAGTATCTAGAACAAAGAATAATTTTCAAGAACGATATTTCATAAAGACGTTTCAAAAGACATTTATTTTTAGGCTATTCGATAATTGCACAGAACAAATATTTTTTGTCAGTGTATCTGTAACGTTAAAAAATTATAAATCTATTTTCTATGTAAATGTGTATATGCCAATAGTAAATAATTAATAAAGTAAAATATAAAATGTGTTTTATCTCATAATTCAATAATTATATAGACAAATTTGTAAGCTGAGATAAAAATACTTTTCATTATTTGTAAAGCTACTTTTAGCATCATAAACTTTCGGAATTTTTTAATTTCTAGAAATCTTAACATTTACTGTTACGGCAGTTTTTGAAAACGGGACACGTGTTCTCTGCTGTAAAAGAAAGGTGGGCGTCAAAGGAAACAGCCAGTGACCTCGAGAAATGTCCATCATATTTAGGACACCCGATAGACGATAAGTATGCTCCAGGATGCAAGCTGATAGAAACTGTGCGCGTGCGATTCATCTTTATTGAGTCATATTATTCATTCACATTTTCCTTTTAATTTACTTATTCAGAAAATTATCCACGGAATAATTTTATTGCTGTATCATATAATGTAGATGCACACAGAATGCAGAAAAAGAAGAGGAAGTATAACTGAAGCATAACTGATTCAAGTATATAAAAATATTTTAAATTCAAAGAATTGTATACAGATTTTTTTTTTAATAGTAATATTATATTCACGCGCGCGCGCGCGGTGCGTATGTATACTAAATTCAATAATGTTATACTGAATAAAAACGGTGCTTTCTTTTATGAATATTAAATTAAACTATTTTCAATTTTGAAATATTTTTTTAATTGTATAGCTTACAGCATCTTCGCTCGGAAATGGGTTCTTATTCGATAGGAATGCGTAGGAGACGTTTATCTCAACTATCGTTCTATCTACTTTTGACAAAGCTGATTAAGCATTTTTAGCAGTGTGATGTGTTGAAATAATTAGGTCATTAGATAAGATTTTATATTTTTGTAACAGCAATCGCAATGATTTCGCGGCACAGGATGATACGAACGGAAAAACGGATGAACAGCGTCGATTAAAAAAAATCAGTTGGCGCTGATATAAGTTACCAAACGATGACAGAACTTGCGTAGTGGTTACGTTACTGCGATAATATTACTGAGTATCCGGTGATGTGACATTGCATACAATTTTACGAACTGCATACGGTGAGGCGTGAAAAACAACACAATAAAAATGGCATACTCTTATATGGTAGAAGAAGCACTTCCCGACGACATTCCCAGCGTGAAGTACGACATCCAACGCGCGAAGCTATATCTTCAGAAACACAGCACGGAATCGGGTGACAGTTTGTACGCGCATCACTCAATTTTCTGTGATAAAAACTAAAACTATACACAATTGTATTCCCTTTGAGACGTACTTTTATTTTTCATATATTTATTGTATAATTATGTTCTTTACGGAAAAAAATTTAGTGGTGTGAGAAAGTATAGCTTGTGTGTGGTAGAAATCGTATTGCATTAATTCTGAAAAATGAATTTTAATATTCTGTAATAATATTTTTTTTTTTAATGTTATAGAGAGAAGTTGAAATACTTTGTATTAAATAAAAATAAAGGAAAACTTATAGGAAAGTAAATGTGCTGAGTAAATAAATTATTATTAATTTACTTGTAACAATCATTTTTATTAGATATGATCATTTAATCGAGCTTTTGGCAAAAATATTGGCTGAACAGCCACCAAACGTTGTTGATATTTTTGAAGAATACAGTAGAAAATTGAAAGAGGAGAGATTTAAAATTAAGACGGATTATCTTCGAGATTTGTACATACCACCCGTGCAATACAACGATGCCAAAAAGCTCATTAAGCTCTTTCAGGTACGATTCAACATGTAACAGATAACGAAATCACGATTATACTCCAAGTTTTCTTCAGATAAATAACATATACACAAACTATAATTTTTGTTTTACCTTACCTTTCAATCTTCTTGCAAACGCGATAGGATGTAAAGCAGATTAACAAAGATGAACAGGAAAGAATGGAGAATGAAGAGCAAAACGATAAGAAAAAGAAACTTTTCGATCTGTTGGATCTTTTATTTTACTTCGAGCAGACGGGTATAGGATTGCCCCGACATGAAATACTGTTGCTTAATTTATCAATTCGGAAATTTGCCTCGACAATGCCGCTTGAAAATATTAGGTATTCGAGACTTATATAACTTGCAGTGTATTATATATGTGTATA